CTACTTTACATTGTAGCAAAGTATCATTTCTTCAGTGTTGTCACATGAAAAGATATAATAAAATATTTACAAAAATGTGAGGGGTGTACTCACTTTTGTGAGATACTGTACATAGCAATATACAGCAGATAATCTGAACAAAAGAGTTTTGTGCACCATGATGCACAAGTCAAGGTCAAACCGTGAGATTGACAAAGTGTTTGAAAGTGTTTTTCAGGATACCAAACAATGCCAAAAACAAATAACAGATGACGCCTTCGGCCGTACCGATAGTGGGAATGGTGGTGACTATTTCTCCCAGCTTGAGTTTGTACAGGATGGTGGTTTTACCGGCGGCATCAAGACCGACCATGAGAATTCTCATCTCCTTCTTCCCAAACAAACCCTTAAACAGGTTCGCAAAGACATTCCCCATGCTTTACACTGCAAAAATAAGAGTTAAACATATATTAGAGACTATACAGCACATAAGATTTTAATTCAAAAGCCCCATTTAATGCTTGGTTAGAAAACAAGTCCCTGTAATGACATGTCTTTAAATATACAAACTTTCATAAAAGTTCACAGGATGAATCAAATGCTCTGATATTATATGACAGATATAGCTTCTTATTTATTAATAAATCAAAGTATACAAGGACAAACAGCATCGTTATCGGTGTTGGAAACTGGGATAGCCACTTCAAATAAATGTAATGTCATTTAAATGGCTGTTTATTATAAAATATAAGGCACATTTAGTGTTCTTGTGAATAAATGTCTAATAAAATGGACAAACTCTATCAGATATGTCTGGGACAGACTGGCAGGGCGTCCACATTTAATCCAAAGTTTAATTAAGTTACTACATGACATAAAATTCTAATTAATTTACTAATTTTCAAAATAAATTGTAACTGGCAGGATAGCTAGCTTTGTCTACACTATTGACAACTAACAAATTCATAAGATGTTTTTCCAGAGTATTTGAAGTTTTAATACATATTATTAGAGGAATGTAAGGGTGTGTTTTTCGCAAATACACTGATTTTATGGACCAATCATCTTTAGCAATTAGCCGACTAGCTACATACAAGATAAGAGCAGCCAGCTGGCACTTCAAAAGACGGATTTTGTCATTTGAAACCAGCTTAATGAATGACTAACGAACTTAACGTAATCGTCAAAAAGTGAGAATGTTTATCATGTAGGCAGCGAAGTAAAATCACCTCTGAACCGGGACTTCTTGAGCTTTCTGTCTCCACTGCTTTAGCGCACGGCTGACTGTCACTGCAAAATGGCGTATAACGCAACTCAACGCACCGGCTTGACAAGCCCCGCCCACCACACAAAACAGTCCAATCAGAAAAGGAGAACAATGCCTAATCCCGCCTTCTATGAGTGCGGTCCAATCAGAATGATTGACAGATCCGGTTGGATTTGGGAAATGAGGAAGAACTTCCGATTTATTGTAGTGACTGTACACGCCTTAGTTTACATTGCATATCATTGAAATAGCGTTTGTTTTCATGCACAAAATACATTTATGTATTTTATATAAAAGTATTTATACAGTGTATATTATGTATAACACTGAAATTAGGTGTTGTCTTCCTAACAAAACTATCAACACAACAAATTTACAATGTACCTTTACATTTGCATCAAAATAATTTTATAATTTGACACATTAGGATTAAGCTTAGTCAACTGAGACAAATTTGAAAATGTTTAAATTGAATCAAACACAAGTTCCTAAACAAATGCATGAAGTAACAAATGAAGTTAGCATCATAAAGCTCAAAAATAATGGAATGAGATGTATAAAACTCCGGTTCTGTCTGTTTGTAATAGTCACTTTTGCTAGAGTGCCACTGTTGAGCAGGATTCTGAATGTTCATCATATTCTCGCAGCTCTAGTTTTCCATCTCTGACCCTCCAATCCCAGCTGGGACTGCCGTCAGAAGCAGGAACGCACTGCAACCACATGCCCGACTCGCATACTTCTGTGTCCGGAGACACCAGACACCCGTCTAGGGTGGCCAAACTGAATGTCCTCAGAGATATCTGTGATATAGAAATAAATACTGTTTTAATGTGCCGTTTTACAATCTCTTCTCACATGAAAGATGTGAAATCTTTATAGAGGAATCTCACCTGTTCACTGATTCCCACAGCAATGTGTCCGATTTTCACCTGTGGCCTCTCTCTGATCTTTAAACTCTCTCCGCTTACATCTTCCACCCATATATCCACGCCAAGACCTGCACACATACCCAAATCAATACACACAAACTTACATAAGCACCTGAAATTGCACTAAACTGATTAAACTTACCTTCAAAGAAGCAAGACGACGTCTGGTCAGTTGACACTGACCAATCCACATTGAAGCTATGGCCATCTGTGGTGCTACAGGAGGAAAAGACCCCCGAGCTTAAATCATCAGAGTCCTTTAAAACAATAACATTGGGTTAATTTGATGTTCTGGCACAATAACCTTCATAAAACCTTCACATGATTCTGTCTGCAGGTTTACCTCATCGCTAATGTCTTGCTCAGAGTAAAAGAAGCTGGTGCAGGTGAGAGGTTGCGGTCCATGAGAATCAGGTAAACTTGTGCCTTTTTGTTCTGTGGAGAACAAATAGGAACTCAGTAATGTTGCATAAAAGTGCTTGACATTCAGTTCTGTACGACTCTGACACAACTTGAACTCTGTATCAGAACTTTTGACCTACATTTGCTGTTTGATGCATTTCGTAAAATGTTTAAGACACAGAAATGCTGCAACGGTGTATGTAAATCACAAGCAAAATCTTGGGGAATCAGAGGGAAATTAAGAACCTATTTAAGCACCTAACCCTAAACCTACTTTTTTCCTTATCTGTAGAATCAGATTGGTAGATTGAAATGTTGAATGGTCAAAATAAAGGCTTCAAAAGAGGGTTTTCACAGCAATGCCTTAGAAGAACCATTTAGACTTCCAAAATAACCTTTCATTGAACAGTTCTTAAAATAACTTTTTTTTTTTCTTAGTGTGAAGAACTTTAAAAAAAAAATAATAATAATTTTACACTATAAAGCACATTTTGTGGAATGGAAATGTTCCATGGATGTTTAAGGTTGTTCATGGAACCACAGATGCCAGTAAAGAACCTTTATTTTTAAGTGTTGTTGATCAAGGATGTTGATCCAGAACATATCCGACGTGGCAAAATCATGGTCCTCAAGTTACTCAGATAACATTATTTACACACCTCTGGTGATGTATGACGGATTTCTCCAATCATTTAGTCTTCTTAAACCCCGCCCCTCCACAATCTATTTAATTCATTTTTGAGTGCCACGCCCCCATCTCGATATCCAATCAAAAACGGATGCATTTTTCTTAGTGTAAAGAACATTTTTAAATAATCTGAAGATTCTTTTTCTACTTCAAATAACCTTTTATCCAATGGAAAGGTTCCATGGATGTTAAAGGTTCTTCATGGAACCATAGATGCCAATAAAGAACTTTTATTTTTAAGAGTGTAGTGCATAAGTCATACGGACTGCTGCTTTTTATGATTTTTCACATTCAATTTCATTGCATGGAAAAGAAAAGCAACACTCTGTTAAACCTCTATTGCAGTCCATACAAGAAAGAAAACAGAAGAAATGGACAGAAATTTAGTTTGAATCAAATTAAGCTCACACACAACAAACAAAAACTCACCACTCTTCCTCAGCATGACCGACTCTTCTTCAGACTCCGAATAGCTGTCTTCGCTCTGCAGTTGAGCTTCTTTCGGGTGATAAAGTGTCTGGAGCTGTAGAAACGGCTCCCACTCCTGCGCCCAATCGCTGCCAAGCTCTCGAAGACTCTCCAAATCACTCTCCACCTCCTCATCATCCACAACGCTTCGGATCTCTCCATCCCAGCTCTCTAATTCCTCTAAAACACTTCTGTCACATTCACCGCATCCCCCAAACACAACTCTTTTTTCAGTTAAATAATCGGTTTTGCTTTCTTCAGCATCTGTTTGATCTGTTGCTTTGAGATTTTCATTGATCTGTGATGTGTCTTCATCAGATTCGAGCTCTCTGTCATCTTCTGAATAGATTTGTTTCTTATTATTTTCCTCCTCACCCCAGTATCTGTCCATCCAGCTGCTCATCTGGTCTCTTTTTAATCTGTTGATATCTGCATCTTCATCCCACTCGCTCTCCTCCGTCGTGGAGTCAGAATCATCCTCGTTTGGTGCCGTCTGTCTCCATGTGCTCACCCAGTGAATTGTAGGTGCTGAGAGGTCTTCTGGGAAACTAGGAGGACTTGTTTTCACTGGAGTTTCCACGATGGATAGGACAGGTGTCTCATGCAAGTTCAAATTGGGACAGTCCTCGAGTACAGGTGCTGAATATTGTTTAGATGGTTCCTCAGAACCAGAGCGCCCACATACTAAATATGTATAAAATCAAGAGTTTAATGTAAGTTTGAGGTCAGTAAGATTTTTAAATTAATAATTAGCAAGGATGCACTAAATTGATCAAAAGTGACAGTACAGCTATTATAATGATCAGACTGTTATTTTGAACTTTCCATTTATCAAAGAATCCTGGGGGGGGTGTATCACAGTTTTCACAAAATATTAAGCAGCACAACTGTTTTCAATGTTGATAATAATCAGAAATGTTTCTTGAGCAGCAAATCAGCATATTAGAGTGATTTCTGAAGGATCATGTGACACTGAAGACTGGAATAATGATGCTGAATTCAGCTTTGCATCACAGGAATAAATAACATAAAATATCTTTAAATAGAAAACAGTACTTTTAAATTGTAATATTTTACAATATTTCCGTTTTTACTGTATTGACATTAGAATTACCTATGTTATACACATTTCATCACATTTTTTAACCATGCAAAAATTGTTTCATACCTGCTCTGAGTGCTTTCACGGTCTTTTGCAGCAGTTCTGATGCCGAATGTCTCTCTCTCGGCTCCTTAACCAGTCCCCCTTTGATGACATCACAGGTCAGCGGGTCACAGTCAGGTGGAATCTCCCATAAAGGAGGCGGCTCACTCACAATCTGACAATCATAGCACAACAGTTTCATACAGTAGACACAAGCATACCATGTAGAGTCAAAAGCAACAGTCCTAATAAACAATGAGTAGGTGTGTTACACTTTTGACTGATAGTGCGTCTAAAGTGACAACTGCATGCTCACTGCACCTTCAGATAGAGTGGATGAGGGTAGTATCGTGTCCAGGGCTGGTGTCCGTTGAGCATGTGCAGTAACATACAGCAGCTGCTCCAGATGTCAGCTTTAGCAGAGCGAGGATCACCCCTCGCCACCTCCGGCGGCATATGAGACTCTGTGCCACGCAGAATGTTCCCTGCACATACCACACACATTATAAATCACACTTCAGAGTAGGCATGCATGCTGGTGTGTGTATGTGTGTGTGTGTGTAGTCACCTCTGAAGGTTTTGGTGCTGTATCCACCCTGATTGAGTGTCTCAGAGAGTCCAAAATCACACAGAAAACACTGTCTGCCATCCTCAGACAGCAACACGTTGTCAACTACACATAAAATCGACACATGAATGACATCAAGGCACAATCAGTGATTTGTTTTGTGATGAAAATCCATGACAATGGCCGTGCCGCTGACCTTTGACATCCAGGTGTATGACGCGTCTGCTGTGCAGGTGTTGGAGAGCCTGCAGGACCTGAGAATGATAATACAGAGCCAGTTCTTCAGACAGACAGCCCTTCGCTCTCAGCAACTGAGCTAAAGAACCTGGAAAGAGAGAATTTATTGACTCAGATATGACTTGATTGCTTTCCGAGGCGTCCATTGGTAGAAGCAATCACCTGTTTTCAGGTCCATGAAGAGAATCACATTGGGCCCCTCTCTCACGGCCCCATACAGCTGGAGGACACGAGGAGACTCCATCCTGCTCCATGTTTCCACTTCCTCCCACCTAAAACTACAAAGGGGAATCTTCACAAGAGAGCAGTGCATTGGATCAGTTAGGACATAATCAGAGAGTCACAGGTTCTCACATTCAAAAACTTTGTCCAAAAAATAGTGCATGCAAGAATATTCAGACATATTTAGGCTTATATGTAATTGGATAAGAAATTGATATATTTACCTTTTTGGCGGCACATGTAAATCCTGTTTGTTTGTCCCGAATGCTGAAGACGTCTCCATATGAGCCATTTTGAATGTGACGGAGAAATGAATATTCACGGCCCTCTCGATATTCAGAGTTCTTCACCTGGAGGAACTAAGAAATGATGTGCACCATTAAAACTGCAGTAAATTGTG